GAGTTACCTGGCCAGCAAGCACAAATGACAAAGGAGGGGAAGGGAAGCAATTTACCAGGGACCTCACACCCCCTCAGTAGAGATTATGAAGGAGTGACCTACACTCCTGCCTGTTTCCTGACATACACCAGGAAAAGACAATCCACTGTGAGAAAACAAATGTAGTGTAAAAAAATGAATGGATTCATGAATATTGGAAGCCTTGTTTCTGAAGTTCAGAATCATCTCCAATCTGGACATGTGCAAAAAAGACAAAGGCAAGGTGTTTGTTGTAGTCTGTGCCATCTAATAGTGATGATTTTGACAATGTGTTTAACTACTGATCTTGCTTTCTTGTCTATAAAGCAATGATAATCATCAGTATAATGCCACAGTAGTAGATGGAAGGCCACTACACGGGCACCATGCAGGGGCAGCTCGCCTTCCTGTGACTGTACAGTACGTGCAGTACTTACAAACCACACCAGCATTGTTTTCTGATCATTCTCTTCACTAATGTGTCATTCCTCCACAGGTGAAGTGTTTGATGCAGACATTTCCCCCAAGCCCTCTATGCTTCTGCCTTCAGTGAGTGAAACAAAGACTGATGAGGCTGGGACCTATCTTTGTCTCCTGGAGAAGTTTTTTCCAGAAGATATTAAGGTGTATTGGAAAGAAAAGGATCATGATGGCCTTCTGCAGTCCCAGCAGGGAGACACAGTGAAGATTAACAGCACCTACATGAAACTTAGCTGGGTGACTGTGGCTGGAGAAGCAATGACCAAAGAGCACACACTGATTGTCAAACACGAGAATAATAAAGGGGGAGTTGATCAGGAGATTGTCTTCCCTCCAATAAAGAAAGGTACGCGCATATAAGTACAACCTTCCTGAAATCCTATTTGAAAGGGAATATCAACTGTTAAGTATTAATGAAAATAAAAATCTGAAGTGAGATTACAAAATACAATGAATATTTAAATTTAAATAAAAATTATTACATTAAAATATATCACTATTAATCCTCCCTGAAAGCACCCTTGTCCCATCATCTTTGCCACTGTGTAAAGGAGGATTGGAAATCCTCTTCCATGAGTGTCTAGTCTCACAGTCACGGCTGCCTGAATATTTTGAATTGATTCAAACAATAACTTTTCATATCTCGTGTTGACTTTGGGGAAGAGCCTGAAGTGGGTCAGTGTTTGACCCAGTTAATAAGGCTGACAAAAACACATGGTGAGGTCATCATACACGGCTCTTCCACTGGATGGCACCTGCCAAGAGCATCCATTACATTTTCATATAAACTCATAAAGACACTCGCAAAACAAGACTTTCAGAACTACTTCAGGAAGTGACATGAGTGACAAATTAACAGTGATCAGAGTGACAGGGAGTATTTTAAGAATTAGCTCTGAGCATAATTTTCCCCTCTTCATTCTAAGAAATGAACTCAGGAACTTGAATTTGGCAGGCAGGCACTGTGTCACTGACCCATATCCCAGCCTATATTCTCTCTATATGTTTTTTTTCTTTTTTGTAGTATTGGGGATCGAACTTAGGACCCTGTACTGAGCTATCTCCCTGGCCCTATATTTTTGACTAATGCAACAGTTAAAAAAATTTGTGTCAACATAATCTTTTAGAATTTAACTTAGACAAAGAAAACGTAAGTGTCCTTTTCTTTGTGTGTTCTCCAGAGCCTGTCCCATTTTATTGTCCTATGGGACAGCACCAAGGAATTGGAGCTGTTCCTAGAATTGACATATGGACTAAGTCAAACAACGGACACAAACACACCTACTGTACTACATATGAAATGCTTAAAGCAGTTTCTATTTTTGATGACCCACTTGACTTACGAGTGGGAACAATTAGGCAACTTTCAGCAAGCAATGCTGATATTGGGGGACGAAACTCCCAACCTGAGAGATACCTGAGCTGAGTTCATGTCCTCTAAAACTGAAGAGTGAATTTTAGGAACATTGAAGGTTAAGAACAGAATACATTTATTGGGGTGGGAAGCTTCCTTTTCTAGGGATTTTTATAGAGCAAAGCCATGTATTGAGGTGGGTCTAAGGTGGACAACATGGGGACCTGCTAGCTGGGCATGAGGTGGGACAGAACTATGGGCAAGCAATAAGATTACAAGCACAACACTCAGGTAAAATTGATGAAAGCCAGGCCCGGATGGGGAAGCAAGTCACCTCACAAGTGGGCATGGCCAGCTGACATGAAAACAGAACAGGTGCTTTTCTGTAGGTGGGCTGGGTTAGAGACTTCCAGGCATCTTTAAGGTAAGAGACTCATTTAGAAGATCAATCTTGATATCTATCTTTAGGGAAGTATGTGGCTGCATTTGTTTAAGCTCTTTGTCTTGAGCTCCTTTGTGTTGAGCTCTGGCCCACAGCAGGGGTCTGTCTCTCCCAAACATGCAAAGTCATCTTATCTTCCATACTGTCTCGTTGAGGGCCTGGCCCTGTCTGACTGACTATAATATTTATGTCTAGCTCAGGTACCTGCAACAATGCCACCAACTTTCATATTGCTAGGCATGAAGTTTATCCTACAAACAATAAGTCCTTAGTGAAAAAATAGGGCCTATACAAAAATGTCAGATCCCAGCTCAGCAAAACAGAGGCTAACATTAGGTGCTGCGGTATCTTTAGCTGCCTTGTGTTTTTCTGATTCTTACTTATGCGTCACAATTGGTAAAATTCCATAATTTAAGGGTGGGTGAGGCTAACGCATACAAACCTATTTCCCTCTCTATTATGGACGTGTTTCCTCCTCTAGGAAAATGCCAGAAGCACAGACACCTCCTGTACCATTAGCCTATGCCGGCCCTGAGTGGGAATGTGGGAGAGGAGTCTGGGAGGGTCTAGTGAGCAGCCCACAGTGGATGCGCGGCAGGGAAGAGTGGATACTCTTTTCCCAATTTCTCACAGTAAGATACCAGAAGAGTCCCTATTTTCTATTTCTATTACTCACAACCTGAGGAGGG